TAAGACTAACAGAAGTATTGCAGCATAAGCTTTCGTGGGTGAATGCCTACAAGAGACTTGTGTCTGATGAAGTGGTCATTCACCCACGAAAGCTTATGCTGCAATACTTCTGTTAGTCTTAAAGGTGCCACAGGACCCTCTGTTGCTTTTTACAGATTCAGACTAACACGGCTACCCCTCTGATACTTGATCATGAATAGACTTTTAGATTTGTTCTATCTAGTGATGGTCAGGCATTCATTGTATTTAATATATTTTGTAGACCTAGAAGTCTGGAAACTCTCTATGAATCATCTTCTTCTGCACCTTGTATGAAAAGGAAGGGGACTTGTTTATATACTGATACACTGCTACCTCGATATAACGCGACCCGATATAACACGAATTCGGATATAACGCGGTAAAGCAGTGCTCCGGGGGGGGCGGGGCTGCGCACTCCGGTGGATCAAAGCAAGTTCAGTATAACGCGGTTTCATCTATAACGCGGTAAGATTTTTTGGCTCCCAAGGACAGCGTTATATCGAGATAGAGGTGTACCTTTTAGCTATATAGATCTTTCTGGCTCTCAGATTCACTTTTTTTATTGTCTTGAATTTTTTTCAACTGTATTGAGATACTTTTTCAAAAGGCGCTGTACAAAAATAAATTGTAAACATTCCAGTTGCCATAATGTATTGATTTAGGAATTTGTATGGTCCTCGTTATAGTAATATCTAAGAATAATAGAATATCAGGGCTGGAAGGGACCTCAGGAGGTCATCTAGTCCAACCTCCTGCTCAAAGCATGACCAATCCTCAACTAAATCATCCCAGCCAGAATCTGACAATTGTTAATGAATTTTACCCTCAGAACACCACTGTGAGGAAGGGATGAGAAACTGAGGCTCAGGGTAAATTAAGTGACTTGTCCCAAGCTCATACAGGAATGGCTGAATTGGGAATTGAGCCAAGGTCTTTTGAGTTCCAGGTTAGTGCCCTACTGCCCTATCCATTAGACCAAGGGTTCTCAAACTTCATTGCACCATGACCCCCTTCTGACAACAAAAATTACTACATGACCACAGGAGGGGGGACCGAAGCTTGAGCCCACCTGAGCCCCGCAGCCCTGGATGGGGGGCCAAAGCCCGAGTCCCACCACCCCAGGCGGACAGGCCAAAGCCGAAGCCCACGGGGCTTCAGCCCTGGGTGAGGGGCCTGTAACCCGAGTCCCGCCACCCAGGGCTGAAACCCCCGGGCTTTGGCTTCAGCCCCAGGTGGTGGAGCTTTGGCTTCGGCTTTGGGCCCCAGCAAGTCTAACGCCAGCCCTGGCAACCCCATTAAAACGGAGGCTTGGTCTACACTTACCCCCCAAGTCGAAGTAAGGTACGCAAATTCAGCTACGTGAATAACGTAGCTGAATTCGACATACCTTACTTCGAACTTACCGCGGTTCAGACGCGGTCCACACGCGGCGGTCAGGCTCCCCGTCGACTCCGCGGTACTCCTCTCGTATAGCTGGAGTACCGCAGTCGACGGGGATCACTTCCTGGTTCGATTTATCGCGTCCAGACCAGACGCGATAAATCGAACTCGGAACTTCGATCCCCAGCCGCCAAACTAGCGGCTGGGTGTAGACAAGCCCGGAGTCGCGACCCACTTTGAGCTCCCAACCCACAGTTTGAGAACTGCTGCATTAGACCATCTGTTCCTTCCATCTGGGAATCAGGCAGACCAGAGCTTAGTTTATTTCTCATTGATACAAAACTCTCCTGAGCTCTGGAAAGGAGACATTAATAGATCTTGTCCCGCTGTGGTAGATTGTATTCTGGACTTCATTAGAGCATACTCATCTAAATTATACTTGTTTTTCCTAATGTGTTTGAATCTAGTCTGCTATCTACACAGCAGTTTGGTGTTTCCTGTATGAATCTACAGGGACTCAATACTGTTAAAAATAAAAATTAGTTATTCTTTACTGTGTGGCGAGTCAATTACTGAGTGTCATCAAGGGAAAGAGTTGTACTCTTGCTTGATATCGATTTTTCAAAGTGGGGGTTAAAAATGTATACAGGTGTCCTGCTGCACAGTGCCTGTTACTTTCCTGTTTCCTGAATGAGTGCAGTGGTGTCTTTCTCAACCTGTTTTGGAAAGTAGGAACCTTTTCTTGTGTTTCTGATTTATTTCCTCTGTCTGCCTTTGGTATCCAGGGGAGCTTGTAACTTCGAGGTTTAAAAATGAAGTTGAACGGATGGGTTTTGATATGAACAATGCCTGGAGGATATCCAATATCAATGAGAAATACAAGTAAGTTGTATGGATCTCTGTAGACTGTTGCTTCACAGCCGAGTGCCCTGTCAAAACACCAATCCTCATGTAGCAGATCACTGGAACTTTTTAAAATTGAGACGTTCTACAATGAAAGATAATCTGCAAAAAGGGAAAAATAAGCTTATGCCCTTTTTGCTGATTTATGTATTTATAAATAATGCCTTAAAGTGGGCTTTCAAGTATATATTTTTTTAATTAGAGATATCAGGTCTTGATTTTCTGTTCTTCTTGCTGGAAGACTCCTCGGAGGACAGGAGAACTAGAGGGACTATAACATTACAAAAGAGTGAAACCTGACCAAATGAGAAGGGAATTGATTCTTATTCAGACTGTTTAAAATATTTTGCTTTTGTTAGCAACTATTTTCCTCCAACACCTAACAAAGATGGGGAAGAAAAACTCTTTGTGGAAGATTCAAACACCCAGGCTTTTGAACTGAGATCTGAGAAAGTTCCCACTCCAGTTCTCTAGTTTCACAGGAGTCCTCCAACAAAACTAGGGAGACTAGACTAGATATTCTTGACATGTGTAAGGTTTTTTTAAAAAAGAAAAGAGGCCTTTTTTATTTATACATAATAAAGAAGCACAATGGGGAAAAAACCATAATTTTTTCCCCTTTGGCATTTTTAGAGTCTGAGGAGTCAATTCAGGAAAGCAGTCCTGTTCAGGAAAACACTTATGCATGTACTTAAGTGCTTTTCTGAATAGAGATAGACTTAGGCACATGCTTATGTGTTGCACTGAATTGGGGGAAAATGCATGACTTATTTTTTGTAACTACTTCCACTTTTGTTACCCTTATTGGAAGAAAATATTTTCAATTCCCTGCAATTTATCTAAAGCTGTGGAAGACATTCTTTATGGGCTCACAATTTTTCTCCTAGAAATCTGCTTAAATTTGGGTGAGAAATGAAACACCATTTGTAAACATTAAGGTAAGGGTTCCCAAGTGATGGTCTGTGGACCACTAGTGTTGTCTGTGGAGAGCTGGCTGGCTTATCCTGCTGTTTCTCCTGGTCTCCCGCTGCTTCCATAGTCGTACAGGCTTTTGTTACAGAGAAGAGTTAGGCAGCCTGTAAAAGCAGCCTGAGACAAAGATGTTCCGTCATTCCAGAGTTCGGTTTGGTTAGAATTGTAACCTTGCTGTTATGCTTCATTCTTGGAAGGTTCCTTTCAACCATTGGTCGGATTGGAGGGGGTAGGGAGAGGAGTGTTGGTATTCTCTTATACCAGGGATAGGGAACCTATGGCACACATGCCGAAGGCCGCATGCGAGCTGATTTTCAGTGGCACTCACACTGCCTGGGTCCTGGCCACTGGTCCGGGGGGGGCTCTGCATTTTAATTTAATTTTAAATGAAGCTTCTTAAATATTTTAAAAACCTTGTTTACTTTTCATACATCAATAGTTTAGTTATATATTATAGACTTATAGAAAGAGACCTTCTAAAAACATTAACATGTATTACTGGCACGCGAAACCTTAAATTAGAGTGAATAAATGAAGACTCGGCACACCACTTCTGAAAGGTTGCCGACCCCTGCCTTATACTCACTGAGATTCAGTGAGAACCCACGCATAGTAGATTGAGCTGATCTTCAAAATATGAATATCCTTTTTTTTTTGCTTGCAAGTTTGGGTTAGTGGTTAAGTAGTTACCAAAGTTGACATTTATATAAACATCAATTGGTCTAAGAATTAATATGCTATAGCAATGAATGGGAACTGTTCACACCTCTCCAAGCTAATCTTACAGACATTTTGTGTAATTCCAGCACACATCACTCTTTTCACTAAATTCTAGAGCACAAGATGGCAGCCCACAGGGAAAAGTACCATTTCGCCAGACCACCACAAATCAGCACAATTCAGTTCCTACCTTCCAAAAGGGATTGATAGGTTGATGCATTGATCCAGTTTTACACATATATCCTCTTCTGACCGACTCTGCGAGACCATAATGACTCCATTCCTAGTGGCTTTGTGATATGAGCTTATAGAAGAGAGTGGAATTACTAACTCTTTGGTATTGAAAGATGAGGAATTTCTCTTCTGTGTTTTGATGCGTTCCTGGCAGCTGGAGTTAAATAACCATTGGGTTATAATTTTCCTAAGGAAACGCTGGGTCAGATCCTCAAATGGTGAAAGCAGCACTACTCTATTGATATCAGTGAAGCTATGCAGACTTACACCAACTAAGGTTCTGGTCCACTGCATTCTTTAATGTCTGATAAAGAGGATTGTAGCTGCATATATGATTGATCAAAAGCTCACAAAATAGTATGGGTTGCGAAATGAACAGCACTTAGTTTGCTTGTACTGCCTTTTATTTTATATTGTCAGTAGGTTATGTATCTGCTATTTGTCTGCTACATTTAACCCTTCACTTCCTCTTTCCACTCAGGCTCTGTGGTAGCTACCCACAGGAGCTCATAGTTCCCGCCTGGATCACGGACAAGGAGCTGGAGAGTGTGGCAAGCTTTCGGTCCTGGAAGCGTATCCCGGCTGTGGTTTACAGGTGAGACTCCAGACCAGGAGCATCCACTGTCACCAAACTGAGGACTGGGGCTTTTCAGCAAATAAAACCTTAGCTTACTTGGAACTGGGAATCTCAGCTAGTAATGAAACATGCTCAGGGTGCTAATGTGCCAGGGCTCAAAATGTGTGCAAGTAACTACAATGAAGGTAATGAACATTCAATAGATTCTGTAAATAGTAGGAAACACCAGAGTTACAGCAGTGCCTGGTGCCCCTAGTTTCTGAGTATGCATAATCAAAGGGGTGATGTGTGCATGCATGAGAAGCTTTGCTATATTTTGATTCCTTGTTACTCTGTAACTCTTCCAGCTATGAATTACTAATACCTTCACCTCTCAACTTTTGTTGTTGCAGAACTCTTACATCCGACTTCAGCGTGTAACTCACCGTGTCAGTTTTTGATTCCCTCCCCCCTCCTTTTGGTTTTTACACCCCCATACAATAATTGCGATATACAAGGGCTCTGGAAAGAGATTAAGTGCTTGTATTGACTGACATTTTAGGCTATTTGTCTCTGGTATATCTGTGATAACTTTGTAAATACTGTAAGTTTTTTCCTTGCCAGTCTTCCCAGGGCTTTCAGTAGAGTCCTTATGCAGCATCTAATTTGAGCAATTGATTGTGGCAAATTAGAGATTAATTTGATTAGATATGTTACAGTCCCCTAAATCTCTGTAATGCTTCCTGTGTGGGAGGTCTTTACAGTTCTACAATTACCTCCATGTTATACACTCCTGTGTATGTAACCCTTCCTGTTCGACTAGTGTCCCTATGGGTGTTCCACTGTAGGTGTGCTTGTGTTCCAGCATTGCGGATCGGAGAACTTTGGTAGCAGGGTCCATTATGCCCACGCGTGCGCTATCTCTCCTGGTGCACGAGGCTAGCCAGCATGTGCGGGCTAACTCCTTAGTTCCTTCTCAACTTCTATTAGCAGTCCATTTCCAACCATTACCTTCTTTTACATTTCTATAGCTAACTAGTCTCCCCAGTCTTAGTTGTAGTTTTTCTCATTTTACTTTCTTTGCTAAGAAAACAAGAAGACTTTGTTTCCCCCTTTTTCATCAGGGATTCTTCCGCCAACGGGGTATGCCCTGTTCACCGGGCTTCAAGAAGTGCCTTTCCTGCAAAGAGGCTATCCCCGTAGCAGGCAAGCACTCCCGGTGCATACGCTGCCATGGGGAAGGCCACATTCCACAGAAATATTGTCTCTGCCAGTAACTCAGGCCCAGGTCTTGCAAGGACAGGGAGTTGAGACAGAAGATCATCTTCATGGAGGCAGCCCTCCAACCCTTCCCGGACCCATGCCAAGAGTCACCTGGCAGACGTTAGTCTTCCCCACAGCCCTCAACATCCAAGGACTGTGGGTTGAAGAAATCAGTTGCTGACTCCTCTCGTAAGTCATTGAAAAAGAGAGTAGGAAGTCTCCAGAGTGAGCTCCAAGTCAGCCTTAAATAATCTCTAGCACGTTCTGCCCCATCAATACAAGACAGTCCAAGCCCGTTATCATGGCTCACAAAAATCTGGAGTGCCAGGTGTCGTTCATGTGCCTAAGACCTGATGGGTACAGGCATAGAGTCAACGGCACCCAAAGACAGGGGCCAGCACTCCACTAAGAAGACACTGCCAGTACACATGGTTCCATCAGCACTGTCATCGATACCCCATCAGGCACTGGAGCAGTTGGTGTGGGCAAGATCACCAACCCCCTCAATACCACCAGTGGCACCGAATCGGTTGGTACTGCTGGAATTCTGGCTCTCGAGAGACCTCCATGTATCCGACGTACTGGAGTCTCCTCTTCTTGGGACCGGGACTTCGGCACCTAGTCATCTTCTGGCATGGGAATCTTCCCCGCAGCCCTGCCATGCTCCCCGAGCATACCCTCAGACAGCCCCACTGGGTCTTGGAAATTGTTTGCACTGGGTACTCCATCCATTTTACCGCCTTACTCCCTTCACAACACTCTTCCCTCTCCCTCTACAGTGACCCTTCTCACAAGAGTTTAGTTTGACAAGAAATAGATAGAGCGATAGAACCAGTACCTCTACGAAGCAAAGGTTTTTACTCTTGCTATTTCCTAATACCCAAGAGGAAGGGAGGTTGGAGACCCATACTAGACCTCAGAGCACTCAAAAAATATGTCAAAGCTCAAAAAATTAAGATGGTCACTCTAGCAACGATTATTCCAGCCTGAAACAGGGAGACTGGTTTTTGGCCCTCAACCTTCAGGACGCTTACTTTCGATCTCAATCTTGCCCTCTCACAGACGGTTCCTCAGACTTACCCTAGGACATGACCACTACCAGTACAGAGTACTCCCCTTCGGGCTGTCATCAGCTCTGAGAGTATTCTCCAAGGTTCTCTTAGTAGTGGCAGTGCACTTACATTCCCCGGGGATCATGATTTACCCCTACCTGGATGATTGTCTCCTCAGAGGCCAGTCCTTCCAAGAGGCTCGCCTGATTCACCAGATCCACAGTAGACTTGGTAATGAAATTGGGCCTACCGATCAATTCCCAGAAATCAACCCTCACTCCAGTGCAGCTCCTGGAGTTCATAGGCACTGAGCTTGACTCATTACAGGCCAGAGCCCTCCTACTTCAGCACAGATTCCTCTCTTTGACCATACTCATAGAGACCGTTTAAAACAGCCCACAAATGTCAGCCAAACACTGCCTCAAACTTTTGAGGCATATGCCATGGGCACAGCAGAAGTACCACATGCCAGGCTTCACATGCGATGACTTCACTTGTGGTTCAGCTCAGTCTACAGACCAAACAGAGACAGGCTAGACAAACCCCTGTCACTACCCATCAGGGTCAAAAACTCCTTGGAGTGGTGAAAAGACCCAACAAATGTCTGCAAAGGGATTCCCTTTTTGCAAACCTCTCCGTCTCTGCTTCTTACCACCAACGCATCCCTCATAGGATCGGATGCACATCTAAATGACCTGACAACACAAGGCAGGTTGTCATCTACAGAGATATCCCTCCACATCAACTCCCTTGAACGCAGGAGGCCTGCACTCATTTCCTCCCACTGATCAAGGCATTAGACACGAGAGTCCTAACAGACAACATAGCGTGTATGTACTACATAAATTGACAAGGGGGAGCTAGATCACTCTCCCTCTGTGCAGAAGCAATGAAACTGGTGCATCTCCCACGATGTCACACTATCAGCAGCTTACTTTCCAGACACTCAAAACTCAATAGCAGACAGTCTCAGTTGCAAATTCCTACACGACCATGAGTGGGAGATAAACACAACGGTACCTCATGACCTATTCAGGCAATCGGGAACACCAATCACAGACCTGTTTGCCACTTACCTGAACAAAAAATGTCCATGCTACTGCTCCAGAGCAGGGATGGGGCAATGCTCCCTGGGTGAGGCTCTCCTTCTCCCCAGGGCAGGGACCTTTCTATGACTTTCTTCCATTCCCCTTACTGGCAAAGGTCTTACTAAAAACAAAAAGAGAAGGAGCACATATCATATTGATTGCTCCCACTTGGCTGAGACAGAACTGATACCATTACCTTTCACATCTTGCGACATGCCTGCCGATCTCTCTCCAATCCCCTCCAGGCCGCCTCTTGCAAAACGAAGGATGCACCCTACATCCCACCTGGGAATTCTTTGCCTCAAGGCATGACTCCATGGTTTAAACGTATAGAGAGCTTCTGCTCGAAGGAGGTATTACTATGCAGTAAAAAGTCCTCAACACACCATACTTACCTACAAAAATGGTCCAGGTTTTGAAATTGGTGTACTTCCCATCAAATCTCCCCAACATCCATCACTCTTCCAAAGACCTAGACTATGTACTGACTAAAACATTCGGGACTATCTCTCAGTTCCCTCAGGGTCCACCTGGCAGCTATAGCAGCTTTTCACCGCCAAGTAGAGGGATACTCAGTGGGATACACCCGACCACTAAACGATTCCTCAGGGGGTATAATAAACATTTCCCCACAATCCCGACATCCTACCCCCTTGTGGGACCTGAACCTGGTATTGAAACGCCTGATTAGACCTCCCTTCGAACCCATGGCCACCTGCTCGCTTACACACCTTTCAATAAAGATGGCCTTCCAGATAGCAATCACCTCAGCCAGGACAACAGGAGAAATGGCAGCTCTGATGGCACATCCCCCCTACACAATATTTTTTGGGTACTCTTAGACCACATCCAAAATTCATCCCCGTTCCACATGAACCAATTGATTCATCTTCAATCTGCTGGCAGTGCCCCTAATTATACAGCCCAAAATGCCATTTGCCTTCTTGGCCACAAGAGCACACTGTTGACTCATATCCAGCTTCTCGTCCACTGTAACCCCTAGGTCCTTTTCTGCAGAACTGCTGCCTAGCCACTCAGTCACTAGTCTGTAGCAGTGCATGGGATTCTTCCATCCTAAGTGCAGGAATTGATTCCTTGAGGACCTGCTCCATGATTTTTCCAGGGACTAAGGTGAGGCTGACTGGCCTGTAGTTCCCCGGATCCTCCTCCTTCCCTTTTTTGAGCATTGAGCATTGACTTCAACACCTCTTCTTGGCAGCATGTACCTCAGACAGAAGCTTTTTTTTTTTTTAAATGACAACTTAAATTCTGCAGAAACTGATAGTGCCACCAGAGGAGTGATAGTGCTGTATACCAGAGTACTGGCTCTAGACTTCCCCAGATTCTAGCCTGGTCATTTGGGAATGAAATCGCCTCATGTACAGAGCAGTCCAAGGGAAGTATAATTCAGACTATTCAGAATATACAGGGGCAGATCCTCTGTTGGTGTAAACTGGCATAGCTCCATTGGTGTCAGTGGAGCAACACCAATTTTCACCAGTTGAGAGTCTTGCCCTCAGTCTAGAAACATAAGCGAATAAGAATACAAACACTTGCAACTTCTACATACTTTAAACATTTTTTTTTTAAATGATCAGTTGGTCTCTTCTTTACCAATGAATCCAGCTGTTCTCAT